CCTGCTTCTCTCCCTTTGGGTGGGACCCAGTTTAGTAGCTGAGTTGGTAGCTGTTCCAGATTGATGGATAAACTTCATGTGAGACACCAGTTTACACATAATGGCCTATTTGTTTCCCACTTTGAATGTTTTTCCTGGTACTCTAGGCAAAGAAAACTCTTGGTGTCCCTTGGGAAACTGGCTTTCAATTTGCAATCTTCTAGTGACATTGGTGAAGGGAAGAGTTTTTTAAATTAAAATGGAATTTACACTTTTAACAATAGTTTGAATATCGAATTCTTAAAGAAAATGTAATATTTGCTTCATTCTGTTGATTCATTAAGTCCATATGCAATTTCCACCTTTTTTTTTTCATTTAAAAAAGTAGAAATTTTAACAAGTTATGAATTAGGTACTGGAATTGCATTCTAAAAAAAAGAAGATAACAATCACTCTCAAATAAAATATGTAATCCAAGTAATAACAGAATCCTTTATCAAAAGAAGTCAACAGTATTTTTTTTAATGGGCTGAGTTATTGATCCTTTGCCACTGAGAGCTTATTAAGAGTGAATTACTCTTGCTTATATTAGGATGTGGTTGCAGACACAGCACATCACAAAATACTGTTTTGGGAATCATAAACTTTCTCTTGCCTCAGTGTACCTGGTTTATTGATAAGAAAAAAAGGATTAAGTTAGCAGCTCTGCTGGCTGGTGATTTTGTGCTAGAAAGAAATTAGTTATATTAAGACATACAAAAATACATGAAGTGCACTTTTCTTATATTGTATGGAGTGATTACATTAGTCATTTGTGAGCATTTCATTTATAGTATTTGTTTTCCTGCTTTGTAAATATGAAAGTGTGTGAAGAGCTTGCAATGAAAACCTTGACACTGAATGAATAGCTAATAATTGCAAAGGGCAACAGTAAGTCCCATATATTGCCCTTTGCTGTACTTGTTACGTAAATATAGGTCTGCAATTACTCCTACAGTAAAATTGAAATTGATTTTTTAGAAAATTAGATTTTTTGCTTTGTATTGCCTGAAGTGATCTGCTATATGAGATTATAGTATTTTCTGAGTACAACTAAACATTAAAAAAATCAACTTAAGACAAGCGTTTAATATTACTAGTTATTGCTAAATAGCTAATAGGTCATATGAAATAAGCTTAACTATTAGAAAATTATGTTTGTAGTATTGTAGCCATGATGGTCCCAGGATATTAGAGACACAATTTGGTTCAATAAAAGATATTACCTCACCCACCTTGTCTGTTATAAAATTACAATTTTAGACAGCTTTGTAATTACTGTACTGGCTGCAAATGGAAGGAAATCTTAAAATTACTAAATCTAAAGACACATGAAAAGAGAAAATAAGTTTAATGAGGTTCTTTCAATTTGAAGCATTTTATAGGGATGGTCATTTAAATTAAAACAGCATAGTTAAATATAGTTGGAACACACATGCTCCTTGGGTTTTAAAATAAATGGAAATGGATGAAGCTTTATAGTGTATTTAACTTTTGTATGGTTTTCTTCTTTATATATATTTTAAGATGGCGTTAACAGACTTAAGATAAAATAGTGCAAAGGCCCCTTTCCTCCTCCAGCCCTCCCCCCAAAACTCCCACTCCCTCAGAATTAGGAAAGATGAACTCCTCTGTCTCTTTGTGACCTTGCATTCAGGAGGAAGTGATATAATGGAAACACACACTGGTCAGATGGTATGACACAACGAGTGTCATTCAGATGATTTGATTACTGTCACTTGTATTCATTTTATGAGCATCTAGTTTTTGCCCTTTACAAGTTCTTTATGGATGAACAGATTTTTAGATGGCTAAGGGACTCTATGTTCCTCTTAGGGTTGCCAATTTTGGTTGGATATATTCCTGGAGGTTTCATCACATGACATAATCTTTTATTAAAGATTAATCTTTCATTCCTGGGGACTCCATAACAATCCTGGAGGGTTGGCAACCCTAGTTCCTCTCCTAGTGGAAATGTAGTCCCATCTAACATTGTTACCAGGCATCCCATCTCCTCTTTTTGACTTTGAGATTTTGTGTGTTAAAAATATTTTGTGGGACTTTTGCTCTTTTAATTTTGGGTATATTGTTTATTTGTGTGTTTGTGTATACTGTGGATGAGTTACTTTAAGGAGACATTTACTTATTTCCATGGACTTATCTGTATTACTATTTAAATTGTGCTTAGCTGGATAAAGGCCAATACCCTAGTCTTATGGATCATTGCTGACCTGGGTGTACTCTTTGATATATTTCATTCTTTACTTTGCATTATGCTGGGTTCATATGTAGTATGTTTGTTCCTGTGTTTTTCTTTATCTAATAACATTACAAACATTTTAAAAAAGGAAAAGATTTTATGGTTCATATGGAAACACAACATTTAAGTATAAAGTATTAACCTTCCATATATCTTGTCTAACTCTTACCATGCTAATTAATAAGATATTTTTATGTAATTATCTTTCTCTCCAATGACTCATCTTCTTTTCTTGCTTATCAGCATGATCGTAGTAATTCCCACAGACAAACACTGTGCTGTTACAAAAAGAGGATTATGTCTCTTGGCAAGAGCTAGAGGTATTGGAATATGAAGGAGAGGGCTCATGTTTGCAAACATTAATCTTCAATAATTAACCATTTAATGGGGAAGGGGCCATAAATATACATAAAAGATAAATTAATATAAGACGAACTTCATTTCTAAATGTTTATGCATCTGAAAAGTACATGTTTAAATCCATAAGGTTTGACCGTTTTCCCAAGTTAGTCTTCCATTCAAATACAAAGTTAGCATTATCAGTTCCCTTGGTACAAAATTCATCTCTCAGTTGTTGCCATTGTTCATAATAATTTAAATTGCTAAACAAACAGAATGAGATTAGCATAACTGTGTGAACAAAGCTCTTAACCAGGTACAGAAAATATGCTATGTTTAAAAAAACAAAAAAAGTCATCTGTGTACTGATGAATTACCCATTAAGGTCCTGATTCAGTAGAGAAATAATATACATGCTTAACTTTAATTACATGAGTAAAATTAATCATGTACATAAGTGTTTGAAGGACTAAGGCCAAAAGGAGTGGACTTTTAAAAGATTAGATATTTAAATGGTCAAATACAGGAGATAGATTTTCTTCTAATCCCCTTTCTCTTCTTCACCTTTCCTGAATTTATATGAACCAGGAATTTGTGGGGGAGGTAGGACCTACTGTTATCTTGAATCTAGCCCTAACTGGCCAGTTTAAGAAAACAAAACACTTGTACCCCGCCCTCCTCCCCCCCAACTCTGGCCTTTGTGGCTCAGAACCACCACATTGATTATTATATCTGACCCTTAAGGGAGATGGACTGAATATTATTTGAATTTGGCCTCTAAAGTAGCAAACCCTTTTTCTGTGTCTTTATGTACATATTATACAGTCTCTTTAGACAATTAATATTTTCCTTTCCTGTTTCCCATGAGAGGATTCCCTATTATGTAAATTTCCTATTAGCATAATTTTATATCCCCATCTCTTGCTACGGATAAGAGAGAGTAACCATAAAGGTCTTTGACATAGCAAAACACCCAGTCAGCTGGCCACTCCCTTTTCTTATTCACACCTTTTGCACCTCTTAATATTTCTAATCTAGATTTGTGTAGTATAGAAAAATTAGTAAGGGAAAAGGCATTCCTTCCAACACAAACAAAGCTAACTAAGCAGCAGAACAAGTACCAGGTCTGCTGCCCCAGAGAAAGGGTATGCAGAAACCCAATGCAAGGAATCTGTCAGTTGCATACGTTAGGAAGTTTGGGGACAGGGTGAGTGTGTGGTAGATTAACATAGATTATTACACAGATGCACAAGTCAAACCTCTTCCATGGCCTGATATTTGACCTCAGTTACTTGAGATTTATTTAGCAAAGAGATTGAAGTACTAAGTATTGAAGGCCTTAAATGGCAAGAATTTATCAACATCCTGCTTAGAAAGAAAGTATTTGATCAAAAAATACTTTTTCGTCTGTTCTGTTACACTCAAATTGAATTTATATCACATTACGCATGAAATAGAATAATCTCCAAAGTAGAAAAAAAAAAGATTAATTTGAAATGTTGTGTAAGGGAGTATAGAAATCAAAGAGCATTATCTATTTATTCTCTAACTTTCCTTTGAATTTTGAGAATTTCCTAAAAATCAGACTTATTTGTTGATTTATTAAGAATAATTCCAAAGGTTTGTGTTCTGTTTGATCATGAGCAGTCCACTTAACATATTCTTAAGAGGGGATATTAGAATAAGTTTACTAAACAAGTAGAACCGTCACTGATGATACCCTAGATATGCTAGTACCAATCGGGCTTTTTCTTGGCAGAATGTAGTTTGGGGTTATGACTTTTCAGTGCATAAAAATTTAAATATTGGAATTTAAAAAAAATAACACTTGCAAAACCTTTTTCATGGGTTTAGAGATACGGTGTGTCAGTCAATATATTTGATGATAGTATAGTGTTTTTTCATAAATCTGGTCATTCTTGCAATATCCATTGAAATGATTTTTAAAGAGATGTCTTCATTGCATACTATACTGACTTGCCCAAATGTGGATACTAGAATTGGTAATGTGTTTGTTAGATTTTAAAGTCTGTAATGCAGAAAAGGTTTATATCTCCAAATAGTTTTTGTATCAAAATATAGTCCAAAATCAGGCCTGAAATGCCTGATCAAGTATGAAACGAATAAATTTAAATTTTACATTTTCATGCACTTGTATATTAGGTATGTTTGAGTGCCTATTCACTAGCAGCAGACTGTGCATGGACCCTTGGATTTCTTTCTATTCATGACATGTTAATGATAAAGTTTTACTTTGACTAGTCCATTTTATTGCCATACCAAAAGAATTGTTGGAGCCTAGCGACACAACGTTTTGATAGCGGGTACTGTTTAGCTCCATCTGTTAAACCATTATTATTATTATTATTATTATTTTTAATAGGGGAACTTCGTTGCAAGCATGACAGCCATTTTAAGACAAATGGAAGACTATCATTATGCTCATTTAATCAAGACTTTTGGAAAGATGAGGTCAGATGTTGTGGTAAGTTTAACATTGGCATCTTTACCCTATGTAGCATTTGTCTTACTTTCTGTTTCTGTTAGTATTTGATAAATGCAGTTACAGATTTGAAAAAAAAAGGTATTTGATTCATATGACCTAATATTAAAAAAAGGGATCAATGAAGCATCATTACTTCGTCATCTTCTGAATCCAGAAATAGCATGTGAAACTTATTATTATACCAAATGATGAAGTAATTGATCTCTCAAGCAACGTTGAAATTTGATGAACATGCCTCTAAAATATTGGATTTAGGATGGGTAACACAAATTAAATCTTAGGAGACAACACTGCCATGGTATTCCTAAAGATCTATTTTATGAAAGGATGTTTCCTTAATGAGTGAATTTTTTACACTTCTGTTTATAAATAATTGTATCCCCTAAATGTCCCAACTTTCTCTCTACCTTGACTTTAATGTTATTTATAGAACTGCCATTTTTAAGCTTTATCCAGAACATTTTAAGTTTAAAGATGCACTCATTTAATAATCAGCAATAATGATTGAAGCTCATCAATTTTTTTTGTAATCATTCTTTAAGTCCACCTATAATACAACATAATTAGAGCATAACAGAAAGGAATTTATTGCTAAGCAGATAACTCTAATGACCTGGAACTATCCTTGCCATATGGCAAGTGCATAAGGCAAAGTAGCAACCAAACTTGTTGGCTGAGATCTGATCTGCTGTTACATTACAAATTCTGTTACTTAGGAACAATGGGTTCCCATGGTAGAGCATTTTAAGCAGTTTTTGGGTGTATTTTAATTTTAGAACAGACTTTATTCACTGTATGCAGTGGCTGCAGAGGTTTTAATAGGCCACTCTACCTTGAATGATCTCTTAGAATTTGTGCTAACTACTTATGCTAAACAATCTGTTCCACCTTCATGTTGCTGTGATCCTGGGATTACCTTTCCCTGACCAGAAGAGTATGACTGGAAAGTTTCTCTCTCTCACCAACAGAAGTTGGGTCCAATAAAAGATAGTACCTCACCCACCTTGTCTCTTTATTCACTGTAGTGAGTTAGATACAAAAAAGAAAAAACAGGTTTCCTGATTTGTGGCAACCTCAACATTGTGTAATTTAATATTCTTGCCTGAAGTTTTATTGTAGCTTGACAGGAACAATATTGGTGCTTTTCTTGATATAACAATTCACTCATCCCTGCTGCAATATAAGTCATTTCAGTGTGTTTTAAATATTTATTTTTGAAAAGAAGAAAAAAGAGAGAGTCAAAGAAATAGCTCAGCATAACAACATGCTACTCTATAGTTACATGTGTCTGATTCTTCTTTGAGCATTTTCCCTCTGAGTGATCCATTTTCAGGATGTGTGCTCACCTGTGCCCACTTGATTGGAGATGTTCGTCAGCAGTGTCTAGGCACCGTCATGCTGTGATAGGAGGGTACATAGCAGGGGTGGCCATACTTACTGGCCCTCCAAGCTGCATACAACAGTCTTCAGAAGTACGAGAGCCAGGGCACACCTGCCGGGGGCCGGGATTTGGGGCTTCAACCCACCCACCCAGCCACCCCCAGTCTAATAGGTGGAGAAAGGAGGAGGCTGGGGGGCTCCGTGAGTCGCACTTTAAGGGTAAAAGAGCTATGTTTTTTGTTTTTTCTTGTTATTTAGCACAGTTGTTGCTTTTGGAGAGGCAGGTTTCCCCCTTTCCCTTGTTTGGTCAACTGGGGCTTTTGTGTTTTCTTGGGCCTCGATCCATGGCCGTGAGTGTGGGTTATGCCCAAAACCCTGGGCTTCAAACCCTGTCAGATCTGCCACAGGTCTTTTCCCTGCAGTGATGAACATTCAAGATGCCTCCGCTGTCTGGGAGAGACTCGCATCCCCACCAAATGATTATTCCCCCCTGGAGTCCAAAGATTGGTTTGTGTCCCTCAACCTTAGGATGCCTATTTTCATGTCACCATTCATCCCTTGCAAATTCCTAAGTTTTGGGGTAGGCAGGGACCACTACTAGTATCCTGTCTTAACCTTTGGCTTTTACACTGCCCCAAGGTGTTCACTAAAGTTCTGTCAGCCTCAGCAGCCTATCTTCAACAAATGGGCATAATTGTCTTCCCCTAACTGGATGATTGGCTCCTGAAAGGTTGCTCACAGACAAGGCCTGTCTCCATTTCACTTACTGGACCTCCACCTCAATGTGGAAAAGTCTACCCTCACGCCCATTCAACATATAGAGTTAATCAGAGCCACTCTGGACTCTTCTTCTGATAGAGCATATCTACCCAAGGACAGATTCACCACAATGTCCAATCTTGTTTCAACAATTCAGCAGAGCCCACAAACCACAGGTTGCCTACAACTTCTGGGCCATATGGTAGCCTCTACATTCATGACTTCCTTAGCAAGACTACATTCTCGGTGTCTTCCGGCCTGGTTGAGAACTATCTACACCCCCAACAACACAGTCTATCCAATGTCCTCAATTCTCTACATTGGTGGAAGGACCCATAAAAGTTGTGCATGGAAGTTCTGTTCCTACAGCCTCCTCCCATGAGGATTATCACCACAGACACTTCCCTGATAGGTTAGGCTCACACTCCCAAAACATCACAGCTCAGGGTGAATGGAGAATGGACCTTTCTTGTGATGACCCTCCATATCAACATAATGGAGCTCAGAGCAGTTCCGTATTCTTGCCAACACTTCCCAACCCATATCAAGGACCATCCAATCAGAATAAATGCTGGACAACAAGACAGCAATTTATTATATCAATTGACAAGAAGGAGCAAGTTCCCAGTCCTTATGTGTTGAATCCATAAAACTATGGAACAGGTGTATATCACTCCGTATACACATTTCCGTGGTTTGTCTGCCAGGTCTAGAGAACACTGGTGAACTCCCTCAGCAGAAATTTCAGGATCGATGATGAATGGGAACTGAACAATGAGGTATTCTGGAAGATATGTCTTACTTGGGTCATTGGAACATAGATCTCATCACAATGCCATCCAATGCAAAGTGCAAACATTTCTGTTCAAGGGAGGGTGCAGCCACTACTCGACTTGAGATGCCCTAGTCACTCCTTGGCCTCGTGTCCTGCTATATGCTTACCCCCAATGCCTCTATTACTCAAGTTCCTAAACAATTTGGGTTCCTAAACAAAGGATTCTCGGTCTTCACCCACCCCACTACTGCAAAATTTATCAAGGGTCCAATCTCTTCCCTCCTGCCCAAGAGCCAGCTCCACTGTGGACTTCAACTTAGTTCTCAGTGCTCTACGGAAACCCTATTTGAACCTATGGAGAGTTGTTTCCTCTGTCATTTTTCCCTCAATACCTTGTTCTTCGGCCAGCTTCCTATATATCCTCACACTAGAGTATGGGAATACGTAGAGTGCAGGCACAGACCTGCAAACTAAAAATCTACTAACTAAAAATCTCCCATCAAGAGTGCATGGGCATGTGCGCATCCCGGAGGTGGAGCACACATAGGGACAAAACATTTCAGTGAATTCCAGTTCCTGTACAGGTAAGTAACCTCTCTTTATCTAATTTATACAATGGTAGCTCTTAAGTGCCTGCCAGTTTTACCTATGATGCATAGTTACAGTTAGCTCAGGATCAGGGCCGGCTCTAGGTTTTTTGCCGCCCCAAGCAAAAAAATTTTTGGCTGCCCCCCACCTGAGTCCTGGGCTCTCACCCCCCCCCCACCAGTGCCCTCCCCCACCCACATGCCCTGCCGTCCCAGCGCTGAGCTCTCCCTCCCCCTACCCCACCCCATCCGCACCCCCTGCCGCCCCAGCCCTGGGCTCTCCCCACCAATGCTGATTCTGCCCACTCCCCCCTCGTCTCCAGCTGGTCCAGTGCTGGCAGGGTCAGGGTAAGCAGCGGGGCTCCCGGGCCGCGCCTAAGCCCAGGGTCCCTCCAGCCAGGGCTCCCACCTCCAGGACCGACTGGGACCCGGGAGGGCAGAGCCGGGAGACTGCCCAGGCAGGGGACTGCGGAGCCGGGGCAGGGTAGCTCCAGAGGGAGCGGAGCCCCAGGGAGTGGGAAGCGGGCCCCGGGCCCCGCACAGCAATGCCCCACCCTCTATGGCCCGGGTGCTGCTTTTGCTTCTGGCCACCCTGCTGCAGTCCCTGGGCGGCTCGGGCCGCTTCGCTCAGCCCCGGCTGCGGCTCTGGGAGGCGTCCGCCCTGCGGCATCTGCAGGTGGCAACCTGTGCTCCGCGGGGCGGCTCCCAGCCCGAGTGGCCCCCGCTCGGACGCTGCCCGGCCCAGCCACAAGGTGCGGGCGCTGCTCCCCGCGGTGCGAACCGCAGCGGCCCCAGGGCGCCCGCCGCCCATGACGCGCTGCTGCTGCCAGGGCCGGCTCTAGGCTTTTGCTGCCTGAAGCAACAAAACAAACAAACAAAAAAAAGTGCTTGGTTTGCTGGTGCCTAGAGCCGGCCCTGCTCAGGATCCACCTATAAATACAAAGTGCTTTCTAAATCAAGATCAACACCATCAGTTACATCCAAAAACATAACACTTCCTGTGAGGAGCTTTGTTGGGTTATCAGGGCAGTCTTGTTCTATGCTATCTAGCGTTTCTGAGTGGCCTTCAGATTTAGCCCCAAATAAAGTGTGTTACAATAATCCAAATTCCACCTCTGAAAGAAAATAGAAAATCACAGCCTTTTAGCCAAACAATTATAGGAAAACATTCTAGTCTACTGCTGCTACAGGACACCAGGCAACAATCTAGGATCCAACAGGTTCTCCAAATTGCAGTTCTGAGCAACAAAAAGCAGATATCTTGAATCAGAGGAACAAGTATTACATCCCTTTGATTATTCTAGTGCATTAATGAGGGTTTGTCAAAGTTTGATATGAATATTCGCCCATTGTTGTTTTATTTTTTTCACTTCCTCGGCAGGTCTGAACATCAGTTTAGTAGACCAGTTTGATCTCCTTTTGGAAAAAAAGAGCATTTATTGTTTTGAAGTTTGTTAAATAATCAAATTGTAATTACT